TTGTATGTCAGTAAAGAAAGCAGCAGATTCCATAAGAGACACTTTTCAGATAAAAACAGAATGAAGGCTGCTGGGTTTCGCTGCAGAAATAAGAAGCGAGTCGACAGTCAAAGTCTCCAGAAGAACTGTGGCTGCTTCTGCAAGATGCTCAGTAACACTTCCAGCTCATTTCCTTATAAAACTGCACACACTGCACCTGGGAATACTATATATTTTTTTTTTAAATGCGAAGGATCGTCACACCAAATATTGACTTTGTTTCATTTATTACTGTTTACTGCTCTTTATAGTATTTTTTAATGTACTTTTTGAAGACATCTTTGCTCTACAGCATTTCTTTGCATGTGCCTAAGACATTTGCACACTACTGTATGTAGCTTATTTATGCATACGTTTGTAATTTAGAAATACCACACCCAAATCAGACATGTGCTTCTGAGAGGCAGTCTTGTTCACTTACAGTCCATCAGACTTGAAGAGAAAGGCCAGTATATAGCCGAGTCCATATCCAATAAGTGACATCAGTGCTGTCCTAGTAAAATCCCAACCAGAACAGCATTAACCTCAGCCCAACTTCTGACAAAAAAGATGCTGAACTCATGATCTGTGCATTAAAATTTCCTGCTCTTCAATTTTTTTCTGATGTTTAAAGGCATACTGCACTGTTTGCCCACCTTGGTGATACGTGTGGAGTGCTGAGGCTGTGGCTGTGGCATCGTCAGGATTCAAACTCCTGAGTAAAGGGTGAGTGCTTTTCTGGTGCGTGACTCAGAATCCCACAATCACAATGATCATAAAGCTGTTTCAGGTGTCTGCCTTCACAGACATCTTTTTGAACAATGCTGGTAAGGGATCTGCTTAGATCCTAAGCAAAACACACTCAGCTAGTTATTAATGATTAATACCTATGAATTAGTTATGCTAATACTATTATTAATATAGTTTTAAAAATTCTGTCTCTTTTACCACTAACAGTGAATTAGTTTAGCAACAAAACACCACCAAGGTACAACTGCTTGCAGGCAAAGGCTCTACCCCTGTAAATAATATCTGGGCAATCTGGCACCACCTTGTGTCGATATTGTTTATTCTACAGGTTGTTCTATTTAAAGCTGATATCATTTTGATATCATAAAAAGCCAAGTACTACTCCTCACACGTGGCACCAGAAGTGTATAGGTCTATTTAGTGTATACAAGAAGCACCAGAACTGCTTCATTATAAATTAGTGAATGAGTTTCATTAGATAATCAGGCAATAGAGTGTTCAATGAAATGGGATTTAATGAAAAAGAAATAGAAATACACAAATCAAGTACTTAATTAAGGATTACTATTTATAAATAGGGACAGAGAAAGGAAAGGATTTGTGTGTGTGAGAGAGAGAGAAAGAGAAAGAGAGAGAGAGAGGAGGAAGAGAAAGGAGGGTGTGTGTGTGTGTGTGTGTGTGTGCTCCACCCTAGAGAGTGTGCATACCCATATACATGTTTGTGGGGAGATTACTACGTGAGATACGTGTCCCCGCCTCCTCATCTGTGAAACATGAGAACAATAGGGAGAAAAATTTGGCAGGGAGTTCAAAGATGCTACGCATGGTGGATGTCCAGTGACAGAAACTGGAAATCAAAAACAATTCTGATGACAAGTAAGTTTCAAAGCACAGTAACGTACATAGTGTTTGTGATATCAAAGTGATATCTACCTAAAGCCCTTGTATAAATTGCACACCATGGAGTGGTAGGTAAGTGGTTAAACTGTTAGTCTACTGATCAGAAGGTCATGAGTTCAAATCCCTGTACTGCCATGCTGGGCCCTTAAGCAAGACCCTCAACTGCTCAGTTGTATAAAATTAAATCAATGTAAGTTGCTAAAGGTGTCTGCCAAATGCTGGAAATGTAGTGTAACGTTAACGGGAATTACATTACAGATAATAGGGCTTATTTTCCCTTTGTTGCTGATTGTAAAAGCAATACAGCCTCAGACTCAAAATGGTTAAAGCTATACACATACAATAGTGAAAGCAATAGCAATCTTACTATTAGTGGCTTTCAGGTTGTGGCAGAAAGAGGAATGTGACTCGAGCTTCCTGATCATCGTCCTTTATGCACTTTGAATGAATGCTTTGTCTCCGGGCGTGAGTGCAGTTTACCTATTAAGATGTCATGGATCTGAATGAATGGGGATGCAGTGCATTTAGAAGAGTTAGTTTTCATGCGTATTTGCTCGGTTGTCGAACCATTCCCGGGGATGCAATTTAGTCGACTTTATATCTCGTGAAGGTCTGGCCGTACAGCAAAGTTACATGGCTGCTGTTTCATGAGTTTCTGAGAGTTGCAGAGACTCTCAGTACAGATAAATGTAACAAATGTACCTCAGATTCATGTCCCCATTGAAGGCAAAGGGCAGGAAATTGCTGACCATTCCCCCGAGCAGCCACACACCAGCACTGACGTGGCTTCACAAAAAAACAACAACAACAAAATGTTTCATACGTCAGTGAGAAATTTTCCAGGAATTGGATTCATGAGCACACAATAAGGAGGACAACATTGTAGATTCAGAATAACATTTTTCATTTTACTTTCCTCAAGAGGCATTGTAATTACATGTTGCTTTATATCATTGAGTTACAATCAAGGCATCTGGACTCTGTCCAATTAACTGTTATATACTTTAATACCATTATACGCACTGCTGCCAGAATGTCTCATGTCTGAACAATTATTAAATAAAATCATTGCTCGTGGAAGGCTAAGCAAATCCTTGAGGAATAGTCCAAAATGACACATCATTATTAAAATTACAATAATTAGAAGAAAATGTTACATTTTAAACCTACCTTGGGGGCAAATGGTGGCTTAGTGGTTAGCACATTTGCTTCGCACCTCCGGGGTTGAGGGTTTGAATCCTGCCTCTGCCCTGTGAGCGTGGAGTTTGCATGTTCTCCCCTTGCTTTGGGGTTTCCTCCAGGTACTCCGGTTTCCTCCCCAGTCCAAAGACATGCAGTGTAGGCTGATTGGCAGCTCTAAAGTGTCTGTTGTGTGTGCGATTGTGCACTGCGATGGGTTGGCACCCCATCCAGGGTGTCCCCCACCTTGTGCCCCGAGTCCCCTGGGAAAGGCTCTAGGCTCCCTGCGACCCTGAGTAGGACAAGCAGCACAGAGGATGGATTGATGGATGGATGGATGAACCTGCAGTACCTTTGCAGTGTATATATATATATATATTTCAATCAGAGACAGTTGTGAGAAACAGATGTTTTTTCTCAGATGATTCTCTCAGACCTCAATGATTTGCTTTACCTGTGTTTGAAAACAAGCCAGCTTTGAAACTTACAGTAAATTGTCCCATGGTTGCAACTGTGGGAGGTAGGTTACATAATTTTAGTCACTTTGCCTGAAGTTTTTTGTCTAAGAGGCATTCATTTGGATTTAGCAAAACACATATAGACCTCACAAGAACAATAACCATCCATATTACACATTTCACAACTTACAACTGAGAAGTTGAGGGTTAAGGGTCTTGCTCAAGGACCCAACCACTGCAGTATGATGGTGCACAGTTTTGAACTCACAACTTGCTACACAGTAGCCTGAAGCATTAACCACTGAGCTACCACTTCCCTGTCATGTGTTAGCATCCATCTCTCCCCCCAGGCCTTGCACCTGTGTGAGTCTGGGGTTTTTTCCCCCATTTTTTAACATTTTTAACATTGTATATGGGAGTAAAGTGTAATATTTCATTCCAGAATGGCCAAAGATCTTTAGCCATGCTCTCATCATGGGAGGGCATGTCAATGACAGCAACAGCAGTCAATCGTGGGCATCTGTGGCTTCACGTGTCTCGGAGAAAGCATGTGTTTGCCACACCCTCCTCCGTTGGCAGTTGTTGTGCGACAGCAGAGAGTTAGCTGGTAGATGGGAATTGGCAAAACCAAAATTGGGGATAAAATTAGGGGGAAAAAAACAGGGTGGATTTGTCCTTTACCCTCCAAGAACACATTTCCTATACAACACAGCATGCTGATGAAAACATCAACATGTTTTCGCCACCAGCTGCTAACTCAAAAGTGTAGGACAGCAATGACTTGCTATAAAGCGTGCTTTCTGTAGGCCTCTCACAGTCTCTTCCACAGTACGCTTCACAAAATATGCAAATACATTCATATAGATGTATTTGCAATGTATTTGCATGTTTTGAGAAGTGTATTGGGGAAAAAGACTGTGACAGACCTGTGGCTTTGGGTTTTTTTTACATAACAAATGTGCCCTAAAGATACTGAAAGTGAACAGTGACTTTGCCTGGATTTATTTATTTACCATTATTGTTTATGTATTCACTTACATTCACTTACATTTACAGCCTAAAGGCCAATGAGATTGCTGTGGATGGTACCATGGTGAAACCATCCATATGGATGGATGATTGGATGGATGGATGTCATGGTACCATGGTGGTAACATCCACAACCAATGAGATTGGCTGTGGATGTTCTTCCTTGGATAGTGTCATGGAATTCTTTCAGCTAAAATAAACACTTCTCAGAGTCTTGGGGTCTTGATGCCAAAAAAAAACCAGACTTTTATTTTAAAAAGCAACAAAGCTGAGTTAGTCTGATGAATCTGATCTCAACACAGCCTTTAATACGTTTTCAAATGCATATCTCTCTAGGCAGAGTTTTCTCTTTACACAAACAACTAGTATTTTTGGCTGTGCGCCCCATTATTTCTCAGTTTTAATGGTGGCTGAAGACCTAATCTCCACAGCCTTGGTACATCCGTTCACTCCATGTTTTTCAGACACTGAGAACCTCCTGACATTGATACCCGCCTGTACTTTGCACAATTAGTTACTGAACTTTAGATGACCTTATAACTGAATATGATATTGCATACTTATGGTTACATATGGGATTATCTTGATGATTATACTGATTAGATGATTAAATATTCCATAATAGCTTTAGGACTGCAATTGCTATGAACAGTTTTGCACTCAAGTCTCCATCATTGAACAGCTGATAACTTCAACATAACAGACTTCAAGTTACAACTATAATGAATTGAGAAATAACTCTGATGCTCATATTCATAAGTTGCTCATAAGCTCATGAGTTCCTGGTTACACAATCGCACTTTATGGCTAAACACATCCAGAATATTTAGCCTAACCCCCGTTCACAAATCTCCACCCTCAGGCTGGACAGTGGTCCATAGAGAGTCTATAAAATGACAAACAAGCATTCCAGCATTCCGGGCCGGAAGTCAGTTTTCCAGACGGGTTTTCTCAGCCACTTAGTACTTTTGTGCTTAAACCACAATTTATTATCATGTTTTATAGATCTTCCAGGTTATTTGTACACGTTGTCCTTCCTCTTTTGGCTGCGGATCATTGGTCGGCGTATCAAGTCAAGTCAAATAGCTTTATTGTCATTTCAACCATATACAGCTAGTTAGTGCACAGTGAAATGAAACAACGTTCCTCCAGGACCATGGTGCTACATAAACCTTGGTTCTGGACATATTTGACTTGGCACAGTTTTTACACCGGATGCCCTTCCTGACGTAACCCTCCCCAATTTTATCCGGGCTTGGGACCAGCACTGAGAGCGCACTGTTGCATGTTCCCTGGCCAGGAATCAAACCCGGGCCACAGCGGTGAGATTATGGTGCACTTAACTGTCCCTCAGACTCGTTTGCGTACGATGGGTGATAGGGCCTTCTCTTCTTACGCTCCAAAACTGTGGAACTCCCTTCCATCTGATCTTAGAGAAGCCCAATCCATTAGTACATTTAAATCTTCTCTTAAAACTTATTTTTTTAGGATTGTTTTTATTTGATTACTTTGTTTTGTTTTGTTATTAAATTATTGTTATTACTATTATTGTTATTGTTATATACTCTTATGTAAAGTGCTCTATAAAATAAAGTTTATTATTATTATTATTGTTGGGCACTGTGGCCTAACCACTAGTCCTCCAGGGACCCCAGGTTATTTGTACAAGTAAGAAAAAAAAATCAACTATTGTTCCTTTAAAAACAAATCAAGCACAAACTAAACCACTCTTTATTCCTTTTTTTTTTTTTTTTTTACAGTATGCAGTATGCATTTTATTACCCACTTAAATAAGTTCCGTATTGGAAAATTTGTCGTGAACGCAGCATTAAATTATAAGGAAAATGTTATTTTCATCAGAGAAAGTGGAGAAAGTGGAGTGACTCAAACTTAGTTTTGTTCATTTCGAAACAGCCCTTGAAATTTATTTTGAATCTATAAAATTAAAAAAAAAAAAAAAATCCAGAAAAACTCTCTTTGTTAAATGAAATTAATATATATTTGTGATGCTGTTTAATTTTTTTTAATTTAGTTACTGTCATTTTCAGCTTGTATTTGTACTATTTATATCAAATGTCTTGAGAACTTGCTGAACTGTTTTGTATTAATGAAATTCAAATAAAAAAAACAAAAACACAAAACGTAGAACATAGCATTAAACTGATCCAATGTTTACTTCCGCCTTTTTAATCCGTCCGCTCTGATTGGCCCAAATATTCGCAAAGGATTTTGGGTAGGATGTGGAGCCTATTGAATCTGTCAGCGTATAACAGATGGCGCTATCGAGCACCATTTTGAAATATTATGTCTTTTTTTAACGACTTTTTAACGTCTTTCGTGAGACGTTTAAAAATAATCCGGTGAAAATGGGAGTTGTAGTTTTTTTACGCGACATTACAGCTTAGTTGTAACGGGTAAAGAAACTACAACTCCCATAAGCCCCTAGCGCGGGTTGTACTGTTGGCGTC